TTAACAGTATTTATAAGTTTTAAAGTGAAAATTTGAATTTAAAAAAATTGAACTGAGAAGGCTCTGAGGAAAGGGGTCCGCTGGCTACATTTTAGTGAAAGGGACAGGAAGCCCGTTACAGACGTTTGGAGCGTGGCTTGCATGCTAAGGCCCTGGCCGAAGAAAGGGCCTTCCCGGGAGGTGGCAGCGAAGCCGCGCTTGGCCTTTGTGGGAGAGGTTCCCTGGCCAGGCCCATGTACTCCCGCTAATGTCCCCCTGGTTATTTATTTATTTATTATTTAAACTTTGCAAGAAAACCTTTTTTCTTCAAGGTCAAAAAACATGTCCTGAATAGAAAATCTCCTCCTAGGAGATGTCTCTGTCGTTTCTGTTGTTTGCTTTCTTCTGTTGACAAAAACTGGCGTTTGAAAATCTACTAAGTGTAGTTACCTAATTGTGCTTTGGGAATCTCAATCAAAGATGCTACTATTTAAGTTATGTTAAGAGCTGGTATCTAGTAAAGACAGGTGCTGGGACCAGGGCTCGGCCTGTATGCCTTTGACTTACCTCCCTGCTGCTGAAGAGTCCTGTTTGCCCGTCTTATGGGAGGCCACAGGATACTCCTCTGTGGCGCTCTGCGACCTGTAACCTGCTGGAAGTTAACTGACTTGTGCATGTTTATGCAGCTAGGAAGTAGCAGAAAAGAATTTAAATCCGTCTTCCTGATGCCCAAATCCCAGCAAGGAGGACCAATGGTTCTGGTTTCCTGGAGTGCAAACTTGCCTGTGCTCAACCCAGAAGTGCTGGTTCTCCTAGAAGCAGGCTGTGTCCTACCCTAGTGCTCGTCCACCAGGAGCCTGAGCGAGTGGACTTTCTGGTGCTGTTTCCTCCCGTCCTGCTAGAATTGGTGAGAAGCACTGCACGTCCTCTGGGGGCTTCAAATCTTAGGGCAGTTCACAGCCAGCCAGGGAACCTGGGTGCCTGAGTGGATTGGGATTCCCAGTACAGTAGAAATTTATCAGCTTAGTTTGCTTAGATAGCACAAGATGCACAGTTCTGCTTAGACCAGTAGCCTTTGTGTTTCTCACTGCCACTTCAAAATACCACTCTACAATTGTGTTTCCAAATGTGAAGTCCTACAACATGGTGGGGTGACTTCGGGTGATTTCCCGTATTTTCCTCCACCCTAGTGACCCTAGCTGACCACCAGACATGGGACCAGCCAGCACTACACTTGTGTGACTTCTCTGACTCCTTTTAAAGCCTGGGGTCCCTTCCAGATGTGTCTCCTTTTAAACAAATTATTTTAGCCTGTGTCCAATTTCCAAAAGACAGTGTGTACCTACCCCGCCTTTGAAATGCTTTTGAAGACAGGGAATTGACTGGGACAGTGTCGCAGATTGGGACCTCTGTTGCTATTAGGCAGGGGCACAGATGGTCACCTAGGGAACTTGATGTGTCTCTGTGTGGCCAACATGTGGGTCTCCACTCAGAGAGGAATTCATACAAACATGGGGATTTTTCTTATCATTTTGAGTGCACAGACCCAGTGACTACCCATCCATGACCCAAGGAGCACCACTGGGTGATGGCTGGAGAGGAAAGCGGGTCATCTGGTGTCCCTGGTTGGTTGAGGGGACATTGTTGTTAAGGGATGGAAAGGCAGGGCAGTGTGCATGCTGTTGATGGCTGCTCTGTGTCAGGTGTTTGGGTACATGCTTGGAAGTTAGTTTTAAAGACTTATTAATTAGACTCACACAGGGGACCTAGTAATCACATAATTACCCATGTGCTCATTTCTAAAACGGTGTCAAAGTTTCTCGTGCTTCTTTTTTTAGTTCATGTTTTATTCATGTTTCTCTGTGACTGTGTAAGGGATGCAATCCTCCTCCAGTGTGCGAGACTTCTTCCATGATGGGTGTTTGTTGTTGTTTTTTTCAAAAGATAGAAATAGGGGCTGGAGAGATGGCTCAGTGGTCTAAAGCACCTACTTAAAAAAAAAAAACAAGCTCGGCAAAGCATCAGGGACCTCGGTTCAATCCCCCAGCACCACATGCCAGCCAGCCCCGCCCCCTGGTGGGCTGAGCTGGCCACACACACACACACCCCTCTCTCTCTCTCTCTCTCTCTCTCTCTCTCTCTCTCTCTCTCTCTCTCTCTCATAAATTAACGAAAAAAAAAAAAAAAAAAAAAAAACAAAAGATAGAAATAAAATCCAGGCTCTGCCATGATTGCCATAGAGCACAGGCCAGGAGTGGAGGGCAGAGGGAGGGCAGGGGAGGCATGCACCAGGGACAGGAGGAGAGATTGGGCCAGATGGGGAAGGAGCAAGGAAGGCCGGGACAGCCACAGCAGAGAGGGGCCCAGGGGAAGAGTAGAGGAGCCACGAGGGGAGACACACAGGAAAAGCACTGCGGGTAGCAGTGGGGACACAAGGACTGGAGGATGTGACCAAGGCCAGCAGTGATCACACAGGCTTGCACGCAGACAGCAGACAGCCTCCGGTGCCCAGCATTCCTCCTCCTCCTGGTGATCCTTGCAGCCTTTCGCTTCTCCCCGTGGCTCTAGAGCTCTGTGATTGGTCGTTGTTTTCATGTGTGCAGATTACTGTGGGCTCTGGGCTCCTGGGAAGGTACGATTTGAGAGCTAGTGTCATTGGGACGCCATCTCAGGAGCAAGATCTGCATGTTCAAATCCCTGGTCTTTTGTGTGCTTTCTGGCTGACCTGCAGAGGTCATACTATGTGGCGCCTCCACTTCCTCATCTTAAGTGGGGTGCGGTGAGGATCAGTCGAGGTGGTGTGTGCAGACCTATGAAAGAGTGCACACCACGAGAATTGGGTGGGAGCTGTAGGATCAGTTCTCACAGTTCAGTGTACTTTTCTGAACCCTGGAGAGCCAACCAGTTCCTGCCTGGGGCTTTGGCCCGGGGCCGCCCTGACACTCAGGAGGGGAGAAGGAGGGGGAGGAGGGGAGGAGGGGAGGAGGGGAGGAGGAGACTGTACTGGAGTAGGGAGGGGCAGGCTTGGTCCTGCTCTGCTGCGCTGAGCTGGCTGCAGGATGAGTTTCTTTGGACTTGCTCTCAGCCTCTAGACTTGGGGTTTTACTTAGGAGGTCTTGACCGGGTAATCTTGGGACCTTTCTGGCATGTAAGTTAGGACTTTATTTCTATACAGAGGTTTTGTGGACTTGAGATTCTTGGAAAGATTGGGGATTGATTGATTATACAGGGTTCTGGAAGAAAGAAGTGCGTGCGTGTGTGATGTGTTGCTTTGTAAATAATGAAGAGGGAGAGAGGCTTCTGTGACCAGGTTGGTGATGATGTCTTTTGAGCAGTGATACTGTGAGTTATTAAGTCGCATGCAGTCCTCTCTCTAGTCCGGCTGTACTTCCCACACTTCCTGACTTTGCAGCACTCATTGCTGGAAAGTCTCTAGTACCCAAGGCTGTCGTGGGAGAAAGGAACTTTGCTAAGGAGACAAGGAACAGTTTGGTTCCCTGTGTAATGTGATACTCGAACCCAGACACCTACAGATGTCTTTGCTGTCAGAAGTCATTTGTTAGGGGGATTTCTGGGCATGTTATCTCCATGGTGGAGCAGTGAAAATGGGGCCAGGTCAGAGCCCATCTTTGAGGATTGCTGTGACTGTGGCTTTAGAGTGCAGGATCTGGACCTGGCTGGGTCCCTCTGTGCCCTTCCCTCCACCTTTCCCACTTGCTCAGCCTTACGCTCCCCAGCCATAGTAGGGAGCTGCCCTGTGTCATCTGATTCATGAGCAGTGACTTGAGTTGTCCCCTGCAGTGGTGACCTGTGATCACTCAGGTATTTTTTAGGGAAAACCAACTTGGGGTTTGGGAGACTGTGGAAAGGTACAGAGGCAGCCCCCGAGGCTCCCTCATTGATTTACCCTCTGTGCTAGGACTGGAAGTTCTGCCTTTGGGTTGGGGCTAGGTAAAAGCTTTGCCAACTTGGACAAGTCCTCTAGCACCTGGGACCCCTCACTCAGTTCCTGGGGTTCTGTTCAACTCTAGCATTCTTAGATTAGCATGAGAGTCTCCTTGCTACATACGCTTAATGACATGAAAGTTCTTTGGGAAACGAAAAGGCCGATCTCCTGAGGACTTGAGAAGCATGGGAGTCTTCTTTGATTCCGAAGTCCAGGGCAAACACCAGGACCTAGGCTGCAGACTGGCAGTTTCGACCCTGAGGGCGGGCTACAAGCAACTGTTCAACTCCAGACATCAAATTCAGCCTCTTCGTATCCCAGGGACTTCACTTGGACCAAACAGCACTCTAGACACGTGGGTCCCCAAGGCCAAACACATGTCACTAGCTGAGTGTCAGAAAGGGAATTTCTACGAATATTATCTATGACTCAGAGAGTCATAGCTGAAGATAGAAGGGGAAGCTGTCTTGGAATGCGGCCTGCTTTTGCCGCCTGTGCATTACAGAAATGTTACCAGCTGAAGTTCTGAGAGTGGAAAACAGGAGGGCGGATGTGGGTGGTAGCTGTCATTGGAGGGGTGTGAGTGATTGATTGGCTTTTTCATTGTGTTTGCTGTTGATAGAATGGGGCTCGTGTCTGGATGAGTATATATTTGTATTTTAATCCTATAGAGACCTGTTGTGCTCACTCAGCTGAAATAACCTATTGGTCCTTGGGGTTCACTAATTTCTCTTGAGATTGCAGGGATGCTCAGGGCAGACCAATTCTATGAGGACGGTGAGCCATCACAGGTCAATTCTTACATGGCAGGAGCCCAGCTGTGTCATGACAGTGGTGGTGGCACATGCTGCAGCAGTGACCCTGAAGCTTTTTTTTATTTTTTATTTTTTTTTTTGCGGAACGGGGGATTGAACTCAGGTCCTTGCGCTTGCCAGGGAAGCACTTATTCCACTGAGTCATCTCCCCGGCCACCCTGAAGCTTTTAAGGCTTCCATTTCACTAGGTCTTGTGTATCACCCCAGGGCCACCAGGCCCACTGTGTGCCTATGGTGACACTGCCGCTTCTTTTTTGCAGGTGCTCACGTCATGCCGGGCCTTCCTGCTGACCGCGCGTATCCCCACCAAGGTAAGTGGCCGAGCACCCTCCTTATGCACCACACTCTCTCCCGCTCTCCCACACTCTGCCGCTCTCATACTCTCTCGCAGTCACTCACACACATTCCCCCCTCACACGCACTCCCACACTCACCCATGCACACACTCAAAAAATACCCCAGCACAACACACACCCTACAGGCCTCCCTGTATGTCCCCTGCCACCTGTGAAAAGGGACAAGGCATTGCTTAGTCTCTTTAGTGCTCTTTTCAACAACTGTCACGAGGTTCCCCTCACTCCACAGCACCCATTAAAATTAGAACCAAGCATGCATGAATTAGGCAGAGCAATGTCTTTGTTATGGTTACCAGAAGGGCCAAACAATTTTGTACAGTACGGGCTGAGTGGCAGCATTTAAAAGCTGTTGGTAAGTTACATTGATGGATTTTTTTTTTTTTTTTTGTATTTTAGGACAGGGTCTACAGGATGTCACTGCATAGATCGGACTCGCAGTGATCCTCCTGTTTATAGCCTTCCAAGTGCTGGGATTATAGGCATATGCCACCATGCCCTGTCTCAATCGCCACTTCAGCATGCCCTGGGAGTGGGGCCAGCATGGCAGGCTTGAGGATTGAACTCCTGGTCTCTGAATCTGCCTAAGTAGGCACTTGAATCTGCTGAGCTATTTGGCCAGCCCTAGTAACACTGATTGAGAGCTCTTTTAGTAAAGAATCCTTAAAATCTTATGAGAACCATGAGCTGGGTCCTACCATTTTTTCCTATTTTACAGATGAGGAAACTGAGGCCAAGGAAGGTCAGGTAACTCACCCAAGACCATACTTCACTAGCAAGCGACAGATATAGGACCCTGGTAAAGGCAGCCTGGCTGCGACGTGCCTGCTTAACCACATTGTCCATATTAGAACTCCATGAGCTGTTGGCCAGGTGTATGGACAGGACGCTGTCCTGTGGTGCACAGTAGCCCTGATGGACAGTTACTATGCAGAAGGAGTCACAAGTCAGGAGTGGGGGAAGCAGTTGGTCCCCCATGTCCTACCCTCCCTACTTTCCTGAGCTGGACCTCCTGGCCTACCTCATGCTGAGGGAGCAGGCACGAATTAGGCTCTGCTTCTGTAGTTACCGAGCTCAGATGCTTGGACTACAGTGCTATTTGCTCTTTTTCTTAGTCTTTTTGGCTTCTTAAAATTTAACTTTTACTCAACACTGTTTTCTCTTCCCCTCTTGTACTGGGGATTGAACCCAGGGCCTTTGCACTGAGGTATATCTCAGGCTTTTGTTTGGTTTTTATTTCAAGACAGGATCTCGCTAAGTTGCCTGCTCCTGGCTCAAGTCTGTGACCCTACTTTCTCAGCGCCCCAGAGTGCTAGGATGACAGATACAGCACTGTAGCCCCTGCTTTGTGCATACATGCTTGTGTGCTGCATAGCGATTACTCTGGACCTGGGGTCTGATGATATCCTAGACAATATTAGGGTGCCCAGTGCCTTTGTCTTCCCAGGACACACACATTTTTAACTCTAATGTAATTTCTTCAAGGGAAAAGACATTTAGGCCCAGGCCTTTTGATGATATAAAATGAATGTTTATAATATCATATAAATGAAATCCATCATCCAGGAAGTGAAGTTGGCCCAAACCACCTATAATTAGAATACCGAGAGGGAGGATGGCAGGAATGAATTTAGCATTATCCAGTATGTGAAACATTGATTACAGAAGGCAATTCTGTGGGGTGGAGGAAATGGCCAAGGCCTCTAAACTTAGCTTAAAGTATTCTGGTGAGAGATGTACTGCCTTTCTGGAAGGATGTGGCTGTCCTGCCAGGTGGCCCTATTCTGTCCCCTTCTTGATCCAGCCCCAAACAAAGGCCTGGCTCCACAGTGGTAGTTATAACATTTCACACCATGCTGGCCAGGACAATTTGAACATTGTTTCTGGTGTTGTGAGCACCCTATGTCAGAGGAGACTTTCTCCCACTGTGCTCTGCTGGATTCCACATGTCCCTGAGTCTTGGGTGAGAAGTAAGGCCTGTGCCAGTGGACATCCGCCTTCTGGGAAAAGAAGTATATTCAGAAAAAGAATATAAAATAAGCACTGGTATGACTTAGGTATCTTCTCTTTTTGGGGGAGGCAGTGTTACATGTTTTTATTTTGTATAAAAATCGTATAAAATTAAGGGGGGGGGAATTGTATAAAATTAAGCATGTTCTCTTTCCAATCTTAGCATGTATGTGAGATGGGCCACATATGTTGTCAGAGTCACAGGAAGAGCTGCACATCATGATGATTAATCACAAGCATATACCTGGATGAAGAAATAGAGTTTTGCTATCAACCCCACCTCCCCAAGCCCCAGTTTTGCTTCCTGGGGCTGGATAAGTATCAGATCAGGAAGAGATTTGCAGGCAACATGGGCGGAAGGATCTCTTGATGCCCACCAGACGGAGGTTAGGCAGTTTGGGAGTCATGGGGGTGCTAGGGCATGGGACTGGGGGTGGGGGTGCCAGAGGAGACTGTGAGGGCAGGGAATGAGGTCCGAAGACGGCAGGCTCCTAGGTCTGGCTGCAGGCTGAGGCTTGGGCTGTAGGATAGCAGGAATTGAGTCCAGATGTGCTCTGCTGCCTGGGTGGTCAACATCTTGCTGCGGGTCTGGTGGGGGAGCTTTCGGTAGATGTGGTTAGCTCTTTCCTGTTATCTAATCAGTCAATAATTGAACTGCTGATCTGACTTAAAATATTGTCAGATCTTCATGAAGCCAGCATCTGTCTCAGCTTCCTAACTAATCTCCTTGCCTTCTCTTGTCTGTATACTTGATCTAGTAGTGTTCTTTGATCTGTTTTGGGGGTGAGGTGGAGTTGGGGAGGATCAATGATGGGGACTGGGAGCAAAGGCCTGGTAACAAGCCATGGCTGAGATCAGAAGAGCATGCTTCAAGCCCTATGTGGTACCTTTTACGCTACCTTAGGGGGACTCCCTTCTACGGTAGTAATAGTAATAGTAATAGTAATAGTAATAGTAATAGTAATAGTAATAGTAATAGTAACAGTAACCTGGGACCAGACTGATCCCAGGCTCAGCCACGCATTGCTTATTGATCGCCAATACTGTGGGTTCTATTCCTTTTAGTTTCTACCTCATCTGAGTTCTTTCAGTGTTTCTATGCCTTTGAAAATTCTTTTCTTCTTCCCAAATTTCTGTGCCAGGCCTTGCTGCTTAACAAACTTGAAGTTGTTCTTCAGGGCCTTGTGCAAGTGCCACCAGTCCTTCCTGGCTGTCACTGAAACCCCACGGGTGCAGTAGAAGCATCTTTGTTGACTTCCAGATAATCTCCCTGGGCCTGCTCGATCAAGGTGCCTGCCCCTATCCCTGGCTCTGCCCACTGATGCCAGCTGTGTGGCCACAGCAGTTAGGCTATAAGCGTGAACACCTGCGTGCACCTGTGCCTTACCTGTTGGGTTGATGCTTGTGAGGCTCATTTCCAAACCTGTTGATGACAGTTAAAATTACAGTATCAGATGTTTCTTTATGCAGCAATCTGAGTGAAAAAAAGTGTATTTGAAATATTAAATGGTGATAAAAGCAAATTACTTAGAAAAATTGCTATATAATCTTTAAGGATCAGACAGTGGTCTAGGGTGGGGATAAGAGAAGATAATCTGGAAGACTTCTTCCCTCAGTTGCTGTGTCTCACAGTTCTGCCAGCATTCCTAGAGGCTTGAGTTGGGGGTAGAGCTTACAGAGAGCGGTCCTCTGAGGCCAGCCTGGGTGCTCATCCTGTTTATGTTGGGGCTGTGATTCATATGTCTCCCTGCTGGGCAGCTTGAATCACCAGTGCTGCATGCATGGCTGTCCCCTTGGGCAGGACAGAACAGTCCCATTGGGTGCTACAAGCTGTTCTGTGGGACAGTCATGCATGTATCACCAGTGGTTCAAGCCAGCTGGAATGTGTTAACTCAAAAACTTGGACACTGTGTTGAAGAATGCTTAATGAAAACATGTTATAAGTTGAAAATGCATTAAAGCATATGACTTCAGGTTGAAGAGATAGCTCAGCAGTGTAAGCACCTGCCTGGCAAATGTAAGTACCTGATTTCAATCCCTGGTACTGCATGCTGTGCCGGCCCCAAAACTGAGCATGGTGGCACACACTTGGAATCCTGGCACTGGGGAGGCTGAGACAGGAGGGTCACTATGAGTCTGAGCTGTGTAGTGAGACCCTGTACCAAATAAATAAAGGAATATTAAAACATATGGCTTCAGAGCTGCAGGTAATGGTTGGAGGATGAGACGTATGTCCATTCTTCCCAGGTTCTAATGTACACACAGTGGGCTCTCGAGGGTCTGTGAACTAACCAACGGAGGCATGGAGGAGTTGTTTTCTTTCTGTTTCCACTCTCTGGAAATAGGAACTCAGGGACTGTCTCCTATAAGATGTATCCTGCCGGTGGTCCGTGTGCACCCTGCTGCCAAGGAGCACAGCCAGGGCCTACATGGCTGTAGTTCTGGAGGTGCTCTTGGGCCATTGTTGCTAGTATCCCTCTTTATATTTCTTCATCTGTCTGCAGATGCCATGGATGTGGATTAAAAAAGTTTTGTCTATCCATTTTCTTGCCATCATCTCCTGGATGGTTCAGTTTATCAACTATTTTCTATTGCATTTATAAAGTACTAGGTATTATTAATAATAAAATATATGGCTTTTTTTTTTCCCCTTGAATTGTGTGTTTTAAATCCTCTTTACAGGCCTCTGTTTCCCCTACAGCTCGAGTTGACCTTCAGTTACCTAGAGATCCACGGCGTCATGTGCACCAGGCCAGCACAGGTGAGTGTGGGTGACTGATACCTGCCGGTGCCAGCTCATGCCATCCTGAGTTCCTGAAGCCGCACGATGAGTGTGTTTTGGTTTCTCCATTTTTCTCCGCAGTACAGGGATTTCACCCATGGCTTTCTCACTGAGCTGCATCCTCTGATCTCTTTAAAGTTTTTATTTTGAGACAGTGTTTTACAAAGTTAGCCAGACTAGACTCAGAGCCACAGTCCTTCTGCCTCAGTTGGCCAGACTGCTAGAATATGGGCGTGAGACACATATGCAGCTCTGGCTTAGGTATTAAATATTTCTTAAGACAAAGCAGAATAAGAAGATGAGGATATAAGGATTTTAAGACTGAGAGACATAAGGAGAACACAGAACTGTAAAGAACAAATTAGCTCTTATGTTAGTTGCCATTAGAATATGAAAATATTCTACCTCTGAGCTACACTCCAGGCTGATACAACAGATTTTAACACTAAAATTTAAAGCTATCATACTTAGTACTCTATAATTTCATTCTTAATGATAGAGTGGTAATTTTAATATTTTGATGCTAAAAATGTTGATTTTGTAAAAAATCAGCTTTTGTGAGCTATAACTAAGAGTAGTAAAGCGTGAAATGTCATAGCTTTTGCTTAGGTCTGCCGATAGGTCACTTACAGCGGTTACCTTGTCCCCCTTAGTAAGCTCCTGCCATGCAGACCTCTGCTTTCTGTTGCTATAGTTTGCATTTCCTAAAATTTTATATGGTTGAAGTCCTGCTGCAGACACTGTCCTGTCTGGCCTCTTTCATTCACTCAGTTATATTAGAACTGATTTGTGGCAGCTTTTAGTAGTTCAGTCCTTCATATTGCTGAATGGGCTCCATTATATCACTCTGGTTCAGCTTCTTTATCCTTTCGCTTGGTGATGGACATTCCGGTTGCTTCCAGGTTTGACAATGGGAAATAAGGCTGCTATGGATATTCATATACAAATTTTTAATTAGAAATATGATTTCATCTCCCATGGGTAAATGCCAAGGAGTGGGGTAGCGGTGTCTCAGTTATTTCCTCATTGTTTAGACAGAATACCCAACACCCACAAGTTAAAGGAGAAAAGGCTTGACTCACAGTTTTTATAGGTTTCAGTTTATGGTCAGCTGACAGAGCAGGGAAACATGGCTAAGGAGGAGCAGTCTACAGCAGGTTGGGCAGGAAACAGCAGCAGCAGCAGCAGCAGCAGTGAGCCTTTCTTTCCCTTTTCATTCCATCCAGGCTACAAGCCTATTGGTTGGTGCCACCCACACCCACTATCTTCTGTCTTTAGTAAATCCGCTGTACACCAAGAACAGTGCTAATCCAACCAGTAGGCACATGCATAACCTTTGGAAGAACTACCAATTTGTTTCTCAAAGCAGGTCAAACCCTTTTTGTAAAGTGTTTTAGTTCCACTACCTCATTCCTAGCACTGATACATATGGTCAGTCTTTTTACTTTTAGCAGTTTGGCCATTGCCAGGGCTGGGTGTGTAGCTTAATGGCAGAGCACTTGCTTCACACATGCGAAGCCCTGCACCACAAAGGAAAGGGGAAACGTGAACAGAAACAGCAGCCACTCTAGTAGGTGTATGATGGGCATGTGTAGTGCTTTCTCACTGTGCCTTATTTTGTATTTCCCTCATGATTAAGTATATTGCATCTTTTTATCAGTATACCCCCCACGAGCTTCTTTTGTGTGGTAACATTTAAAGCTTTCTCCATCTTACAAATGGGATTGTTTGTAGTCTTACTGAGTTTTCAGAGGTTTTAAAAACTAGATTCAGGATAGAAATCATTTTAGAGCTGTGTGTTATATGTTTTCATACATGGTCCATTTTGAACTAACTTTTTATGTAGGAAACAATGTTTGGGTCTAAATTGTATTTTGTTTTTTAGTCATTTACAATACTAAGAATTAAACATTGATACTGAGCTACATCCTTAACACTTTTAAAATTTTTTATTTGGAATAAGGGTTTTTTTTGTTTTGTTTTGTTTTGGTTCCTCGAATGCCTTCAGGGCACTTTTGGCCAGCGGGAGAGTTGTGAGGTTTGAACTCCAGTAACCTGAGGCTGACAGCTTTGTGGAAGCAGCCACTTAAAGGACTGAGTTAGGGCCAGGCCCCCCAAAATTTTTTATTTGGAGACGATGTCTCACTAAATTGCTAGATAATCCAGGCTGGGCTTGAATTTATTACTCTTCCACCTCAGCCTCAGAGTTCTGGGATTATAGTCATGAACCACCACATCTGGCTAGATGGTTTTAGTTCTGTATGGTACACCCACTTGTCCCTGTGCCGTTTGTTTGCTGTTGTTGCGCCCGTGAGCTGGTTTTCTTCTTTGTGGAAAATTGTGTGTCCGTGTGAGTGTGGGTGCATTTCTGCCTACTCAGGAATCAATGTCTGAGTCCCGCCCCCGTGGTCTAGTTGTCCATCTCTGCTTCCACCTTCCCCTGGCAGTGACCGTGGCTTCAAGGTAAGACTTGAAATCAGATTCTTGCTCTGACTTTTATTGTTTGGTTTTATTTTAGTTTTGAACACGGAAGTGTGTGTGTGGTTTGTTGGCATTGTTTCTAAAAGAAGCTGTCAACACTGACACTACGAATCCTTGGAACTTCACTACAGTTCATTTTAGAGCTGTGCTTTATCCTGCGTGTTTATCATTCTCCAAAACCTGGAGTTTGGAGGGGGGGAAATCCCAGCAACATATGTTTGCCCAAATGGTGGAACTGATTAATGCCGGCATGAATGATTGCTTATAAGTGGCTGGCCTAAATTTGGGGGTGTCTGGCTTGGAGTGGGAGAAGAATGCGATAATGAGGTGGTAATGTGAAGGCCGAGTCCAGGATGTGGCTTGACTGTGGTAGTTCATGGCGAGAAAGAATACCATGGAGCGAAAGAATACCATGGAGCAGGACTGACTTTTCCTCATGGCTGCTGGGATTGCTCTGATCACACATTGTATTCCTGTCCCTTCTGTGTCCATTCCCCAGTTTGGTGGGATTCTCTGTCTCTTTCCCTCTGTCTATCTGTCTATCTGTCTGCCTGTGCACCCCCCCCCTCTCTGTTTGGTGGAATTCTCTGTGTCTGTCTGTCTGTCTGTCTGTCTGTCTCTCTCTCTCTCTCTCTCTCTCTCTCTCTCTCTCTCTCTCTCT